GCTTCAAGGTATAATTTTCACACACAATTTCAATTTACATACTTGAATTTCTGTGCCTAAAGGCACTCTTCAATACTTTTAAAATGTAAATTAATTTTTTTTCGTCATCCATTGAATATTTTTTTTTATTCCGAATGAAGATTAAACGACAGATAGCATGACAGAAGGTTTTCTTCTTTTTTAATTCAAATACAGAATGACATCGAGCCTTAAAAAATAAATGTTCATGAACGGAGAAATGATTTACAGCTCATCATATGCTTGTGTGCAAAATTACCGACAATAAGGATAAAAATTGAAATAAAAGTGAGAGAGATGAATTGATGATGGAGACTTATTAAGCTCACAATGGCAAAAAGGGTAAATGAAAAATCTGTCATTACTCTCTTTTTTTTGTAATAAAATGCTTTTATAGTCTGTGATGAATGTCAATGAAAGGACTTACGCATGTAACAATAATGTTTGAATAAGGAAATGATATGAGGTAGAGTTTAGGGGTTCTAACTGAACTCACGTTCATTGCAAATGACGATCTGAACTTATTTTGTACTTGAGACCTGTTTCTGATCAAAAGCTAGGGGCAATTAAATTATTTTCTACCTAAGGGGCCGTTCACTTATTACGTTCGCATTTTAGGGGGAGGGGGGGTGAAAAATTGTAACAAAATGTAACATAGGGGGGGGGGGGAGGGTGTCAAGAAGTCGCTTTTTTGCGTAACGTAATAAGTGAACGGCCCCTTAACAAATCCTCCATCAATTTTTGGCTTTAGAGTACACTTTTTTAAAATCTGTCAGTTCATTCCGGATCCTAGTCTCAGTCTCAAAGGGTGTGGTACAATAACTTCTGCTTTAATTTGAATCGAAAGGCTGAGCTCTTCCCATGATTTACCTTTTTAAGTCTCAGTCTCGGCATTGGGAAATCATTTTCTTTAGTACGGGAGCCACGGGAAGCCTTTGTTTATATCTTCATACCAAAATTGATAAAAGTTATCGACCATTTTATTGATTTTCTAAAAATAATCAATAATCGTGCCTTAAAAGTTCATCAAAAATACAAAACTTCACCCCGATAAAAGTTATAAACGTGAGAACTCTAAAAAAATTCAATCATCGAAGCAGATGTGTAGCAATAATAGCAAAAACTGCATGACAATGAACAATACGAGAGTAAGAATCAAATCTAGTCAGATAGACAGTAAAAATCACTTTTTTGCTATTTTTAGACGAGATATAAATCGTAAAAAATGGCAACAAAAAAGAGCAGAAGTGAGCCTCTTTTGAATGGATTTGATATTCATGCATACACATGTGTTAGCTATTAAAGAAGAGATGATACCTCAAAGGAAAAAAAATTGTGTGGATGTCAAATCTTTCACCTTGTTTGAACTTGCTTTGTCATTGATCCATGAATGAGTTGAGAAAATTTCTTTTTACACCTTTTTCACTTTGATTTTGACTCTTTCTTTTTTTCCTACATCTCACGCCTTCTATAAGGCTGTATAAAATTAAATGTAATGCCATGGGTTACAATTTGTGACACAAAATTAATTTCATTTCCGTTTTATGCAATTTTACAATGTAAAAGGAGCAATTTCAACCTTTTTATTTCTGCGAGAGAAACGACAAGCTTTTGTTGTTATTTTTTGTATGTTGCCATGATAATTAGCAATTAGGGAGAAATTAAGTCTGTAATTAAGGTAGCATGAGATTGAAAATAACAAAACAAGACAATGAAAAATGGTGTAACGTGATGTGAACATTTTAATGGCATTTATGTCGCTATCTGACTATGATGATTGCTGCTGCTGCGACACGTGCAAATTAATGCGAAAAGTTAAGTGGAAGTTAAAATTGAAATTAATTGAATTTCCTGTTTAGTTGTTGGCAAAAGTTGTTTTGGGAGATGATGAGTGTATGCACGAGGCAATGACTTTGATGTTTGTTCGCTGTTAATTTTTTTGAAAGACACCTGCTTGGAATTATAAGTTGAAAGCGATGCTCAATTGTAATGTATTTTAAACTTATTCTGAAAAGCTGCAAACAGAGGTTCAGATTTGGAGATCGGAAGAGAAAAAACACATGATTTAAATTTAACATGAAGCTCAGATTAAGCAGCAGTTTCTTCAAAAGTGTGAATTTCTTAGTATCTTACATACAAAAAGTCTGAAAAGCCGGTTCCTTTTTTGTTTCTCCCGAGAACGATCAGGAACAGAAGAAGAAGGAGCCTCTTTTGACTTCCTTCTGGTATTAAGTATTATGAGGATCTTTGTCAATATCGACGATGCTTTAATTCTCACGATATTTTCTGGAAATCGAACTCACATCCCCACAAAATAAGGTTCCACATCTCTCGTCTGTTGTTTAACTACTCAACCACAGAGACCTTACTCTTGCAATGGCAGATTCGTCTACATATGAGTCAAAACCACAGAAGCAAGTCAGCTCCTTAACCATAATATCTGAATCTGTCTAGTCGCATTTAATTATTAATATATTTACCAAAGCAGCTTACATAAAACTCCAGCAATAGATACACAAAAAGAATTAATCTTGTTCCAATAATTCTGTATGCCAAATTTATCTTAATTAACGTAACTCCATCAAAAATTAATGAATGTCAATATTTTTCTTATATTTTTAAAAGCTCAAAGATAATCCAGCTTCAAGGCTTATTTTTTTCAATTTAAAAAAAAGTCGGATTAGGTATACAATTCATCTTAATTCTTTTCTAACCAAAATGATTAAATGTCTCAAATTTATTCGAATTGAAACTCAACAACAAGAATTTTAAATTTATATCTGTTGCTTTGCCAATAGATCCCATACTCAAATTCCTATTTGTAATTCAATTTACTCAGCATAAAAAAAAAATTCAATTCCAACATGAGAAGCAGAAAAAAAACTCTTCTTGAGAAAATTACCGCGAAGAGCTTTAACTGTTCTCATACAACTCTTTATAACGCTTTATGTTTGTTTATCTTTTCGTAAGCTCTTCTCAATATCATGAGCATACATGAGCTGGAAAAAATCCTTGTTGCGTAACCACTTCTTGTTGTGAAATTTTCGCTCATATTAAATGCAACATATACGGCACATTAAGAGCCTGTTTATATAGCTTTATATACACACACAAAAAAAAATATACACACTCATGTGAGGATAAAGAATAAGAAAGGAACGACATGCACGAGATGAAGGGCAAAAATACATCAAAACAGCAGCATAAATAGCATAAAAGGCGCATAAATTATTAATTTAACGTCATGGGAAAAATAAAAAAGCACATAAAAGTGCGACAAAAGTTCCCTTTGAGATTTTGTTGTCGTTATCTTTGGCTTTGACTTACAAGTGCGGCATACTGGTTGTAAATGTAAACAACAAATGTTAAGTATAAGGCAGAGAGCCTTCTATGTGATGTTTTTGTCGTAATTTCAAAGGAAGAAAAAAAAATTGTTGTCGCATTATGACATTCATTGGCAGGGTTGGAGGGGGACATTTGTCAAGTGTTTAATTGCGTCTGTCTGTTTGCATGCTATTTACATATGTGGTGTCTGAGCAGAGTATCCAGGATCAAGGATGTCAAGCCATATGTAAGCAAATATGTCAGTGCGAGAGTTTTTTTTTGAAGACATGCGTTTGACTCCCACTAATTGCTGATATCCAGGACAAAGGATTTAACTCCCACTAATTGCTGGTATCCAGGACCAAGGATGTCAAACCATTGGAACCAAATATGTCAGTGAAGTTTTTTTTTTGAAAACATGAATTCGACTCCCACTAATTGCTGGTTTCTAGGGCTATTCAAGGCACTCTTCTCTTGTCTTTCTTGAATATTAGAAACCAGCTATTTAAACCAGTGCTGTCCAAACTTTTTGAGCGATGGCTCACCTTAGGGGTAAGCCATGAACTAAGTAGCACACAGCATGAGGCTCGTATCATTTCCTAAAATATCTTATGGCACACTAGTGTGCCGCAGCTCACAGTTTGGACAGCATTGCTTTAAGCTGATCATTTAATCAATAAAAAGAGTGTCTTAGAGATGACACGAATATTACTAACGACACCTCAAACAGTAATTAAAATGTTTCCAACTCTGCGTATCATCTCTCTTTGAATGAGGATGTGAGGAAGGCTTTTGAGTAATAAATAGCATTACTCGTGTTCTTTTAATGCAATTATATATCATTAAAAAAGAACAAGAATCACAAACATGGCAATAAACAATTTCAAGTATTTTGCAGAGAAACTCTAACTCGAGATTCTCGCATACGAGAGTGTTTGTCAACAATTTGAACATGAGATTGCAACCCTTGAAAAGTCGTTAATAAAAGCGGATATTAAATTTTTTTTTATATCACAGATTTACCCTTGCTTGCTTTAATTCGTTGTATTTGTTATAGCTGACAATATGCTTTCTCCATAGGTTTATGCATATTGAGGATGTAGCTAGGAAAGAGATGGTGATGTTTTTATATGATTGAAAAAATTAATGGGAATTTAAACTTTTTCTCATCATTAAAGAAATTAAGCACAGTTAAGTTGACTACAAAACCCACCAAGCTAAGTTGCTGCTTCATATTTGTAAAGGGATCATTCAGAAATAATGGAACACAATCAACAAGAAACTAAATCAAAAATATTAATTTTCTTTTCATCTCATTTCATCTCATCCCTTTAGGACATGACCAACTTTCCTTTTATCTCCTTATACTCTTATGCACTTTAGTGTAATGAGAAAACTTTTACAGCATGCAGCACAAAATGATAAGAAAAAGCCTTTTTTATTCATCAGAAAGTCAAATCATTTCGCAATCAACAGCACATTAATAATTTTTTAATGAAAAATGCATCATGAGAGATGTAAATGTGAAAATTGTAGTGCATGGCATTTGATGAATGCTTGAATATGTTATTCTGATCTGTTTGATGTTTATTGCAATACAGAAAATGTTGATTCGCTTTTGTGAAGAAAAAAAAAGGATGCAATAAGATCAAAGGACAATGGATATGGAAATGGTAATTAATGAAATTTTGAGAATGTTCGTTTTTAAAGGTTCGTGCTTGATATTGATCCCCTCTTCCTATCTACAATCTTATACACTCATTAATGAAATAATATCAACAAAATATGCTTTAAAGCTAAGAAACTAGGCCATAAATTGTTGCATTTTTCATGATCTTTGCAGCCAATTAAGAGCGCATTATTCATACTTCTCATTTATTCAATACTAAGACGTTCACACCTTCATAATTAAATCTTAGAAAAAATTATTCCTCTACATTGTATAACTTGATTAAAATCTCAATTATTCTTCATACAATTTTATTTTTATCATCAACGTGAGCAGCTCTCCTACTTGTCATGATTTATTATTTATAAAAACCTGTCAGCATTGTTTCAGTATTTTTTTTTTAAACAAAACCAAGCAAAAATATGAGCAGTTTATTTTAGTATCAGTCAAATCAACATCAACATCAGTGTCATCACATATTAAACTCTCTCTTTTTGTAGATTTGGGACAGAAACTATTTTTTTTCTGTTTCATTATTTAAATGGTTATCGAAGTGAAATTATGAAAAAAATATGACAGGAAGAGCCAAAAGTTTTTTCATAGCTGAACTAAGATATAAAGTGCGTTGGAATGATTCTGATTTGACTGGTTTTCATCGGGTTGTTAATTGTTATTTAATAATCTCTATTGGCAATGAATTTTTTATCAGGATCTAATCTTTCTTAAACATTGAAGTTTTGGATGGTGGGTAGGTGTGGGGGAATTCAGGTAGTGCTCATACAAAATTGCCTTTGCCCAGATTTTGCCTTTGATCTAGCAAAGTCATGCCTGTGCAATGGCACAAAAAAGGCAAAGGCTTGTGCCTTTGATTTCAAATTGCCTAAGCTTAGGTCCAACTTTTTAAAGTCAAGTGCTCGGTTGCAACACTGAATTTGGTTGTCAGAATTTCATTGCAAGGATACCTATCACACAAAAATAATAAAAAGTCATATTTTATGCATAAGTGAGTTCCTCGTCCTTCCCCAGTCAAAAGATATTCCAGTACTTAGAGTGACAGCTGCAGACTTTGCGGATGGCAAGAGACGTAGAGGAAGACCAAAGAATACTTGCGTTAAATGCGATGATAGGGACACTAGAATCCTTAACATCCCAAACTGGCAAAAGGTTTTCGAGAATGGAGCTGCCTTTAGACGATCTCTGAAAACCTGGCTATGTGCACAAGTGCGCCCAGCCAAGGAACAACATACCTTCCCTTATACCACACCCTTAATTGCCACTAAATATTCAAATTAAAATATATTTCAAAAGTGCGCCTAAGTCACCAATAATCCTTTAATAAGCTTTCGCATTGTTTCATCTTTCACATCCAAAAAACATTTTTTTTATTCCACTCACAACTCATCATACATACGAAATTTTGTTGGCGCTTCACGAATGAGCAAATATTGAAAAATTCTCGTTTCAACTTTTTTTTTTCTCGTGTCCTCTCCTCTCACCATTGATTGCATATTGTTCTGTGGTTATCAATGGCAAACATATTGCATTGATATGATGATGTGAATTCATGCAATGCGTCTGAGTCTCACTCATCATTGTGCCCTGTCTCATTCTCTTTGTTATGTGCTTCATCTTTTGAACCGTAATTAATTATCTGTTGGGATGCTTTCATAATGTTTAATTACTGATAATTTCAATTGTAAATTCATTATTATTTCGATACTTAATTACTGAATTCCTTCATAATGTTTCTCATTATTTTGCAATAAATAAACACAAAATATTATTCAATGGGAAAATTGTATATAAATTGTCTTAGGAGTAGTTCACTTATGACGTCCGAAATTAACGGTCATTTTTTAAAAAAGAACGATGGATTTCCTGGAATTTCTATTGTTCTTTTCTTTCTTGCTCCCCCCCCCCCCCCCTGTACGTCATAAGTGAACGGCCCCTTATGACAATGATGATGCTGTGTTGTTTCCTTAAAAAAAAACATTCTATTGTATTGAATAAACAAGCTTTAAATGATATTTGATGCATTCTCACTGTATAGTCTTTATGCTGCTAAAGACGATCGAATTTTGTGAGACAGAGAGAATTGTATAAACATCCTAAGGTTATTTTGATAGTTGATATGATGCTTCATGATACGAGATTTCTAAATTATTGCAGCAAATGATTATTTTGTAGATTAATTGAAATGTATCTCACATGAATAATATCGGATTCTAGTTTTTTGTGCTTGTTCAATGTCTCCCTCTTTCGTTTGCTTTGTGATGCTGTATGCACTTGAGATGATAGCAATTTATGATGATAATACCTTTGAGAACTTTATTATGATATGATCTTAATATGCTTTTGGGTTGAGTGATTACATTTAATGAGCTCTTGAATATTTTTAAAGTTTGAAATCAAAGAATGACAATTAAGTTTAGAATTGTTTTTGTTTAATGATGTCAAAGAGTGAATTTACGTTGGAACAGAGCCTTAAACCCCTTAGCTTGTCTAGAATTCATTCAATCACTCAAATGAATCACAATCAATCAGATCAGTGGCCTGAACTACAAATGTATTAAAAATAGACTCACTTATAAATTCCACGCTATTCCCAAACCACTTACTGCAAAATCAAACCACTTAAAAAATTCTGTACAACATTTTCCATTTTCCACTTACTCTTATTATCTAAAAAATATCGGAATCGATATTAATGGAAGTAAAAATGTTTCTGCATGGAGAATTTAAAAATACAATTTTTCTGCATCCTTCATACGAGTCGAAATTCACAAAGAGATAGGTCAATACCATAACAATTTATTAAAGGAAGCAACAAAAAATTGTTTTAAGATCTTTATGTAGTCTAGACTTGATAAAAAAAAGTATCTTTATTAAAGTTATTATTAGGGTCGTTTGTGACATTTAATGCGAGTTTGTTTTGAAGTTAAAATTAATTTATTGTTAATATCCTTAACTTAAATGACTTCTGGTAATGAATCATTAATAGAATGGCATCCATCAAAAAAGAGAGGTAGGGGGGGGGGGGGCTCAGACTTATTCCTTTCAATAATCTAAAATTCATCAAAATGTAATCAAAATTATTATCTCAAAAAAATTTCCAATACCCTGCACGACTTCAAACTGTCAAAAACATGCACAAAAAATCAAATGCATTTAATTTCAACAATTACCCTGCTCATCAATATTAAAGCTTCGTTTGTCAGTTCCATTGAATTGTCAGTATTACAAAAGTAATTAATAATCATTGAATTTAATCGGCTTACGATTAAAATTGGCTTTTGACAGACCAGCTATTCATTCAACCAATAAATAGGACTGATTACAGCATTTTAAATTCAATCAATTGAACATCATCAAAAAAGGTTTTATGTAAATGGCAATTTAACATGTTGCATATGCATTTCACACCATCCAATTACAGATTTTATGATGATTATTTGAAATGTAATCAGGGACCATCAACATCAACGCAATAGTAATCAAATAGTTTATCATTTTCACGAATTATCTCAAATGTTTGCAAAATTACAATTTATGATTTTATAGATTTAACTCAGCATTATTTGAAGTCGGGCGATTTTAAAAGCTCAATTTTATGTAATCGAAATTTATATTTTTGGTAGTGGATAGTCAGATAGAATATTGAGAAAAATTATTGTCACTTTTAGGATGTCCAAATAGGGGAGAAGCTAGGAAGTTTTTTTTGGAATTTTTTACGATTTGGGGAAGGAGGGGGGAGGGGAAGGGAGTTAATAAGACTCTTTTCTCAAAAATTACTAGAAAGTTGAAAAAATATTTCGGTCGAGTTAGATGTTGACGCCAGAGACCCTCCCATGACCACATTCTTATGTCCAAATATCAAAACAATCTTTATAGTCTTAGCTTTAATTAATAAAAATCATATTAAATTCATGCATGACCAAAAACTCATAATTAATGAAAAATAATCCCGAAAGTATCCCAAAAAGCCATATGGACATCCCAGATATTCGCATTATCCATTCAAATTACATTACGTACACAAATAAGCAATTCTTTTCTTTTTCATGAACACCAAAAAACCTATCTATAATATTCCAAATAAACGAATGAAAAGGATAAAATAACATCGAATGCTTCTTTTCATAATATTATGATTAATGTATGTAGTTATACAAAATTCGCATTTATATATACATACGTGTGTGAGAGAGAGAAACATTGTCATTGAGAGTAATATCATGTGTATACATATTTATGTAACTCATACACTCCTAAGTGAGAATAAACAGCTTAACGTTAAATTCTTGCTGAATCTCATGTGATAAATTTAAAAGCAATTTAAATAATACAGCAAATATACCTCTCGCATACGATGATGCTGTATCTTCATTAGAAATTTCTTTTTCTTTAGCGTATTTTTTCTGAGATGTTGGTTGGTTGAGGTGGGGATGTGTGGGGCGTTTTGTTTGGATTATTAGCTTGATAATTAGGTGTTTTTATTTATGATGTTTACAACTTGGAGTTTTTCGAGGGAAATTGCTGGTTACAAACTTAGCAGAAGTGTTTTAACCATTAATCAAGAAACTGGAAGAAATTCTATTAATAAGTGGCTCACTAGTCCAGTGGTTCTCATTGGCACACTAGTGTGCACCAAAAATTAATTGCTAAAATTGGACCTATATTTTAATGTTTTATGACTTCAAAAAGGTCATGAAAATCATTTAGGGTGCCACGAGACTATTCAGATGTGACGTGAAAATTTTTAAGGTTAAAAAATGTGCCTTAGAGTCTAAGGCTTAGACCAAAAAAATTTAAGAAACACTGTACTAGAGTGAAACCAGATGGAGAAAAGACCCTTAAAATGAGAAAGTTTGTTTGATTTGACAAGAAAATCCCCCCCCCCCCCCTTAAAAGTTTTCCATACAAAAAAAATTGTGCCCCCTTCTTCAAATTTCTGACTACGCCCCTGTCCGGACCCCTTCAAACCATAGCAAATCAAAGTTCCTG